ATTGGTGGCGGGAATTTTATGGGGACTAGACCTGAGAGGAGAGGACTAGGCCTGAATAAACAGTGTCCTAATCCAGTGCCTGGCAAAAAGAAAAGAAAAGAGAGGAGAGGAGAGGAGAGGAGGGGAGGGGAGGGGAGGGGAGGGGAGGGGAGAGAAAGAAACCCACATTTATATGGACAGTCAATGACAAAGGAATCAAGTTTCAGTGGAGAAAGGAAAGTCTCTTCAATATATGGTACTGGGAAAAATGGACAGCCGCATGCAGAAAAACGAAACTAGCCACTCTCTCACACCATACATAAAAATTAACTCAAACTGGATTAAAGATTTGGATGCGAGAATACAAACCATGAAACACATAAAAGAAAACATAGGCAAAACACTCCATAACATTGATTTATCAATGTCTTTGGAGACTTGAAACTATGAGTGTCTGAAGAATTGGGGGGAATTTTTGATAACTTCAGAGAGGGAAAAACCTTTTTAAGTTTTCTTAAAACACAAAAGACCAATAACAATAAGACTAATAAAGTCAACTACATAAAATGCAAACATTTCGCATAATACAAATCATCATAATTATCAAATAGCAAAGTGAGAAAAAATTGCTATATATGTGTATATACAAAGGGCAGTTTTCTGTAAAAAGCATGTATAAATCAATCATCTGTGGTCAACATTAGGAATGGATATTTAACAAAAAAGGAAATAAACATAAATGTGTGTTTGGCATACCTTAAAACATTTGTAAATATACTAGATACAATTTATCATTTCTCAGATTGACAATATGAAATGTTCCATAATACTGAATCAAAAATTATGAGAAAAGAGATACCTTACAGTTTTGTTAAGAGTACAAATTGGTGCCTCCCTGGTGGAGCAAGGGGCTAAGTCTCGGCACTGTGAAGTTGTCCACAGCATGAGTTTGATCCCCAACCAGGGAGCTAACACACAAGGCCCAGCAGACCTCTCCTGTCTGGGCTCTTGCTCCCCTCAGCAGTGAATTTCAGTAGATCTAACCATTCTGCTCCATGCTCTGTCTCTGGTGAGTCCTCTTACCCCCACACCTCTGGCCTGCACCACAGCTCTTGTATGCATGGATAAATAAAAATAAATCTTTTTTTAAAAAAAGAATAAGTTGTAATTAAAATAAGAGTACAAATTGGTACAATTTAGGGGCCTCCCTGGTGGTGCTGGGGTTAGTGTCTCAGTGCTATCAAGCTATTGCCAGCCACTGTAGCATCAGTTCAATCCCCGACCAAGGAACTAACCCAGATGGTGCAGCAGACCTCTCCTTTCTCACCTGCTGCTCCCCTCAGCAGTGTATTTCAGTAGATCTATCTGTGCTGCTCCCACTCTGTATCTGGTAAACCTTCTCACACTGCCCCAATACCTCTGACCTACGCCCCAGTTCTTGTATGCATAAATAAATAAAGATAAATCTTTTTTAAAAAAAATGGTATAACCTGCAGAACAATTAGGCAATACCAACGTTTAAAAATACATCTATCAATTCAACTCTTGGGAATTTCTCCTACATATATACTCATACCTGTGTACAGGGATTTATACACATGAGGTTCATGCCAGCATTATTATACAGAGAAAATGACTTTAAGCAACAAAGTATTTATGAATGTGGTATTGGAAATAAGTGAGGTGGTAGTTTTGTCAAAGAAGACAATGGAAACAACAAAGAAAATTACATATGATGCATTCATACTAGTATAGTAAAACAAGAAAAGGGAAAACAGTGATTCTTGTATCTTCCGTTTGTGAAGAAAGATAAATCAGTTTATTTATGATTCCTATGCTAAGTTAATTCTGAAAGATACACCTGAAAATAAGGGGGAGACAAGGGTAATAGACATTATACCTACCTTCCTCTGCCTTTGGAATGGTGTACTGTGTATATGTATGCCAAATGCTAACTACTAAAAAACTACTAACTTCATTTATTGAAATAAGCACCTCCATCAAGAGAGCTCATCTCTGCACCTCCACTCTCCCTATAAATGCTCCCGGTCCACCATCTACACCTCTGTCAGAGATAGACTACATATCTTACTATCCAGTACACTCTGAGGCCTATTCCTCCTGCTCTGCATTTTGTGGTAAGTCTCTGTCCCACATGAAACTCTCTCTCCCTCCACTGGCCTGCCCCTCGCCCACAGTCTGCACTTTCAACTCAACCCCCTGTCCTTCTACCCAGGAGCCCTCCCTGACTGCTCCGATCTTCATTATGCTTTCTTTCTTTTTTTTTTAATTTTACATACTTTGTACATCATTTTTCATTTTTGTACAATGTATGCATTTCATCTGGGTTACAATCCCCATAAAATTCCCACCACCCTTGCTTTGATCCTACTCCCTTCTCCCACCCCGTAGTGTGTCTCTGGTTTATAGTTGCTTGTTGATTTTGATTTTTACTTTATTATAATTAGTCTTTTTCCTGGTCCCTTATTTGGGTTTTCTAAATTCCTGCTATGAGTGAGACCATCCGGTATTTTTCTTTTTCTTTTTCTTTTTTTTTTTTTTAAGATTTATTTATTTATTTATACAAGCACTGGGTACAGTCAGAAGCGCGGGAGGGTGAGAGAATCCACCAGAGCCAGAGCGGGGAGCAGAGCAGGCAGAAGGACCGAAGTACACTGCTGAGGGGAGCAGCGGGCGGCAGGAGAGGTCCGCGCGCCATGTGGGACCCTCCTCTGGTGGCCGGGGAGCAGCCGGGGATCGAACCGATGCCGCAGAGGCCGCGGGCAGCCCCGCAACCCAGCGCTCAACCGCTGCGCCACCTGGGAGGCCCATATTTTTCTTTTTCTTTCTGGCTTATTTCGCTGAACATGATCCCTTCCAGCTCAATCCATGTTGCTGCAAATGGCATGAGTTTATCATTTTTGATGGCTGAGCAATATCCCATTGCATATATGCACCACATCTTCTTGATCCAGTCATCTATTTTTGGGGTATTTGGGTTGCTTCCATAGCTTAGCTATTGTAAATAGTGCTGTTATAAACATAGGGGTGCCTCTGAAATGGGATGTTTATTGCCTGGGACCCACAACTGAGTATATATTTCTATTTATTCTAGATCGATCGCTCTTGTTTCATGCGTGATAGTCTTATCTCAGAAACAGTCGCCTAAATATCTTGAGAGCAGGAAGGCAACGTGACTCAAATGTCTTTAGACCCTTGACACAGGCCCACCTTAGGGAAGAGCACAGAGTGAGGCCTCACCGGCCAGCTGGGTGGAGGGCCAGGTCCCAGAGAAGGGCCAAAGAGGCTCTTCAGAGACTCTCAGTCAAGAATGTCATGACTTGAGCAACTGTGCCGAGGGCAAGACTCCCTCAGGGAAAATCACAAATCCTGGGATATCGAAATCGTAATATCCACGGTGGCCAAGGAGGTAAAATCCACATCAGCAGTCAAGGCGTAGAGAGATCGGTCTTGGGTTGACTGGAAACGCCTGTCCTGCCTAAAAGTTACCAGAATGCAGCTGAACAACAACAAAACCCTCCCGGGTAAAGAGCACGCACGCAGAGCAGGTAAGGAGATCCCCAAGCAACAGTTACTTTCTCACCCTCAGGTGGAGGTGGCGGCTCATCTCTACAGAAAATCATGAGGACAGCAGGGCGCTGTCTCCTGTGTAGGGAAGCTCTGGAAAACAAAATGTGGACAGCACTCCAGAAGTGAGCCCTGCCCACATGCCCCACGGAAGGCAGTGCTTAGTCACTTCCCACGACAGCGCAGAGGTTTCCCTTCCTCTAGAGGTTTAAAAATTTTTTTAAGATATATTTATTCATGCATACAAGAGCTGGGGTACAGGCCAGAGGCACAGGAGGGTAAGAGGATTCACCAGAGACAGAGTGGGGAACAGAACAGGCAGAAGGACCTAAATACACTGCTGAGGGGAGCAGCAGGGAGACAGGAGAGGTCTGCTGAGCCATGTGGGAATCTCCCTGGCAGGCCGGGAATTGAACTGGCACTGCAGAGGCTGCGGACAGCTCCACAGCGCTGCGTTCAACCTGCTGCACCACCGGGGTGGACCCTAGAGGTTTAAATTAAAAACGTTGCCACCTTGGCCTTTCCCTGCCACATCGGCCATGGTCCCCTTTATGTGCCTGTGGCGAGTGACCGCCATCCCCTGTGATATCAGAGCTCTCCATTTCCAGCCACAAGCAGACTCTGCCCTCACTAAGCGCGGGTGCTTCCCTGATACACTTGCAGACAGGCAGAGGAGCTGCACAAGGATTCTGTCTCGGCCACTCATCCTTAATAGGTGTCCCGACACAACAGGCCCCGGGGATGGGTGACCAGACAGTCATCACGGAGGTGTAGGTGTGGCGAGGGAAGAGCAGACAGAATGGGAATACAGGCATCGCCTGTGAGCGAGCACTTTCAGTCCCAGGCTCTATAACCTTTACAGAAAACCAGACATCCTCATTGACAGACTGACCGCCGCATGAGCTTCCCAAGTGTAGGGTAAGGTAAAAATGTATCGGGCTTTTCTGCCCTCCTGGCATTAGGATTGATGATGGATCCCTGCAGTCCTGAATGCATGCCTGATGGCGGGCACCTGGAGTAGGGTGTGGGCATACGTAAGTGGGTACACTTGGGCTGACAGACTGGGCTTATAAGGGCGGCGTCACAGGGATGCCAGTGGAATGGAACAGCAGAGTGAACGAGAGAATGAGAGTGAAAGAACAAGAGAAGCAGAGACCACAAGAGAAGGCCAGAGAGCCCAGAGAGAGAGAGAGGACGTGCTGGGGGCTGGGGCGTGCCATGTGCCTGGTAAACCCAATGAAAGCCTGCAAAAACCATCGAGGGCTCCAGGACTCCTCCTTCACCCATCTGCATAGACACATAGAGATCCTGTGCTGTCTATCTGCCACCACACCAAGACACACAAAGGTCCTGGACACCACACCAGTCTTGAGAAACAGAAGGGCTTTGTGATGCACACGGGTAGCCTGGTTCCGTCGTCTGGGAGGCGGGGAGGACAAAGGGGAGCACTGGGAGTCAGTAGGCACCGGGACCCTGAATGCCTAGACATAGGGATGTCCGGGCTCCTCGTGCTGATGAGGCTAAGACCATGTGGAGTCCGACTTTTCTTCCGTGGGATGGTGGATACCACTTGTATACCTACGGCTCCGTCTTACTTATGATCCTCATTATCTGGAAAGTGAAAAGGAGTTACCATGGATTGAGGCTGGAACCTAAAAAGTGCTGCTGCCAGGTAGGGAAACACTCTGATTGTGATGGAACTAAGTAAGCCTCAGAGGAGCTCAGTGCTGCTCCTCTTACCATGTCGAAATCACACCTTCATGGAGTCTAGAAAAACTTCCCTGCAATGTGTTCTAACTGCAAAATCAGATGCTCTATCTGGCTTAGGTGGAGACCTATTAAAAGGGCATTGGCCTGACAGGTGCAGACACCTGCCAATAGAGAGGCCTGCTCTGCTTAGTGCTCTACTAAGGCCTTTATAAGCAGGAGTCTAGGCTGTTAGCCTCACGCACCCTTTCATCTTCTCTGCTCTCTCTCTTGTTTCACCATAAGCCTCACACAGTACTTCTTCTTGGAATCAGACAGATTGGAGGGACAGAATTTGGGAGAACCCCAACTGACTCAGAGAGAGGAGACAGAGGAAATGCCGGGGTTAAAAAAGATGGAGCACCAAGGGACAGTAAACGAAAGACAGTCAGAAAAAGAGAAGGAATTAGGACATGTTACTGCCTCTGACTCAGCTTGCACATGAGAAACAAAATGGTATCCCAGAATCACACCCCAACTTTTTGTCTTTAAGCGACACCAAAAAGTCAAGCAAAGGGCAAGAGATGCAGGAGCATCAAGAGGTAAAGTGCCAGTCTCTCCCCAAACCCATCCCTGTGGGCCACGTTCCCATGGATCCTGTCCCACTATGGCCCCAGCTGCCAGGAGCCAGATGCTCTGACCCCCTAAGTATTCAATTCCCAAATTCTCCCAGAAGATTCTCCGAGGTGGGAGGTCAGAACTAGGGAATGTTCCAAAATTCTGGCCCAAGGGTGAGGGGTGAAGACGGCAGGCAAAAGCCCTTCGCTGCATCACTTACTAGTCTCCTGACCCTGTGAAGGTCACTGCACCTCAGTCTTGCTCAGATGAAATGGGCCCCAGGCAGTGGCCCCGGGGAGCGCTTTGAAACCCCTTCCTCTGTGCACAGATGTGCCTCACACAGTGCCTGCTGGGATTTCAGCCCCCCTCCTGCAAAGGCCTCTGGGCATCCCCGATCCTCACCTGCTCCAGTGACACTGTCTCCTGGTTTCTCAGCTAGGGGGTGTTCCAGGAAAGAAGCTGAGAAGCCGAGGGAGCTGCTCTCTGTCATGAAAAGGTGATCCCTGGCTCTTTGCAGTCCTCCAGCACCCACATGGCCAGTGCTGATTTCTCAGCTCAGTCTGGGGCAGGGGTGGGGAGGGATAAAGCTGGGAGGAGGTGAGACACAGCAGAGGCTGGAGCGCGGCTTGCGAAGGCAGCCAGGGCACGGGGATGAGACGTCTCCGAGGGGGGAGTGTGCACTTCTGCTCTGGACAGGGACACAGCAGGCCTGGAATCCAGGACCTGACTGGCATGTAATTAACAAGCAGCTCTACATGGGTTTGCACTCCCCACAGAAGGAGTTAAGTGAGCGCAGACAGAAGCCACCACCCTCATAGTCTCTTGACAGCAACACCCTTTCAGGCACAGTCCCCGGGACTCTGGCCGCATCAGCTGCCATCACCTGCTCTGGTTCTGTCGCCAGTGAAGTCACTTCCTGGGACGGCACTCAGACAGGAGCCTGTCACTCTAGCCTCTGCTTAAGGTCCACAGAGAATGGGGTTGGCTCTCCGGCGGTGTTGAGGACACAGCACCGGCCACAGGATGCAGAGTTCCCCCCAGGAACTCATTTCCCTCGTGTTGGGAACTGAGCAGCAGGCTGTGGCCTCTCAGCCCCAAACGTGCATGGCTCTGGGTGTACCCAGTGACGATCCTGGAGATGCCCCATCAGCTACTCGCTGACTCCCCCATGTCCCTGGATCCCTTCTGCTGGCTCAGCTTGTCAGGAGGGCCACAGAGGACTCATCCCCCAGGCTCTGGGGCCCTGTGATCCCTAGCTCCCTCCCTGCGGCCACGCCCACAAGCCCCAGGCCCTCACCAGCCATCCCTGTGCTGCCTAAAGTTTCCTGAAAAGAGTGGCTCAGACATGCTGGGAGTGTAAAGCCCAGGTCTGGGGCAGGGCAGGGCCAATCTCCAGAGCCCACGCGCCCAAGCAGGCAGACGTGCAGACGTCACCCCATCGGTAACGGCTGGCGTGTTTCCCTTCCAGCCAGGACTGGCTTCCTCGGGAGGGAGGAGTGCGGCGGCTCCTGTGTGCGGATCCCTGCTGCAACACCTGCAATGCTGTGGCTCTGGACATCAAGCATCTGCTGGAGGGTGGGAGCCTGACCTGCCCCTGTTCAGTGGGGCCCCCTCAGGGCTCCCCTTGTCTAGACAGCATGGCCATGCCTAGTAAGCCTGTCGAGCAGTGTCCAGAGCACCAGGCCCACTGCTCCAAACAGCTCCCTCTCCCACTGTCAGCCCCCGTGGCGGCACAATTCTCCGACCAGAAATCCTTCACCCGGTCAATGGTCCAATCACCCACTGCAGTCAGCATCCACGATTACTGGACTGAACACCTCCAGCTGACGCAGCAAATTCAAGGGCCAGAGGTGCCCAGAGGACCAGAGAATATGTGTGTCTCCGTGTTGGAAGAGCCGAGGGCTCCAGTGACTCAGCAGCTGACGGGACAGACCAACTCCAGCCTCAGCTATGAGAACCAGGGGCAGCAGCCCATGAACTCCCAGGTCTCGCTGCTGACCGTCAACCAAGAGATCACCACCGCCACCCTGACAGATCCTGTCCCCTTGCACATGGACACGGTCCTCCCTGCCAACTCACCCATCCTTAGCCCTGACATCCAGAGGCTTCTTGAGGTACATGTGAAAAAATGGATGCACTTCCAGAGGTGGGGGCTCCCCAGGCGTGTGGAGGAGTCCATGAGGCAGCACATGCCCAACCCACCGCTGTTTTGCCAGCCTGAAAACAGCGAACCCGGTTCTCCCATCCACTGCGATAGTCCTAACTTCTCTGTTGAAAATTTGGGGACTGTTTCCTACCAGACCTGGGGCTCATGTCTGGCTGGCCAGGCCACCCAGGCCTTCTGGATCTCTGAGTGGGCCATCAACACCGCCGACCAAGGACACCGCTACCAGCAAGTCCCACACCATCTAGCCTTGCTGTCTCCAGCCCTTAAGGACTTAAGTGGCCCCTGTGCACTGCCTGGGCCACATGCCAGTGAGACAGTCGACCCCTGGCAGCAGAAATACAGCCAGCTGTTCTGTGGACTCCCTTCCTTGCACAGCGAGTCCCTGGTGGCCAACGTCCTGGGCTCTCCCGGCTTCTCACTCAAAAACAGCATGTCCAAGCTTCCCTTGAACGATCCTTTCCCCTTCAAGGAGCTCTCTTTCCTTCCCTTTCCCCCTAAAACTCCACCCCAGCCAGCCCCACCCCCTTACCCATCTTCCCCCAACCAGTCGGCTCCCTCTGACCACCCGCAAGCTCACACCAATATCCCATTTCTGACTCGGGCCGAGTGTGAGGCCTTGGAGTGGCACGTGCTACAGAGGCATCTGCAGCTTCAGTGGGGCTCGCCAGCTGTTTTCCAGAGGTCTCAGCATGCTCTGAGCCCCGCTCCACATAAGTCCTGGGACAGAGCCCCGTCTCCTGAGACACTGAAGACTTCCTGGCCAGGGCAGCCCGTCTCAGTCCTCACCAAGGACATCCTTCTCTTCCCGGAGCAAGCCCGCAGGCTGCTGGATTTCCACCTCCAGAGGCAGCTGATTCACAACCGCTGGGGGCTACCCCAGAAGATCCAGCAGTCCTTCCAGCTGCTCCTGTCCATCGACCAGCAGCCTCTAGCCTGGCGCAGCGCGGCGCTAGCCAGCGAGGGTGTCTCCCGAGAGCCCGCTGGCACTGTGGGCCCATTCCCGCCCTTCAAGGACCCAGTGCCAGTCCCTATGCCACACTTGTTTGCGCAGGCCCAGGAAATACTGCAGAACCACATCGACTCCAAGTGTGGACAGATTCAGCAGGAAAAGGTCCCGGTGGGTGTAGGTGGCTCCTGGGAATGCGAAACTCCCGGGGGCCAGACCTGCAGCCCAGAAAGTGAGCCCTCAGAGCTACAGGCAGCCAGTGACCCTGACCAGCCACAGAAGGACTCGCCTCTGGCGCCAGACCCAACGCCGCTTGATCAGCAGCAACAGGCTTCACCAGAAGTGGTCGCTGAACACCCTAAGGTGCCCCAAGCTCTGTCCAAAGGAGCCATTGAGAAACTGGAGACCACTTTGCGGCACAAGTATCTGGCCTTCTTGTCGGGGCTGCCTGCCCTCTATTATGTGGCCCTCTCCATGGCCATGACCCCAGAAACCGCTCCCCAAGATGAAGCCACAGACTCGGGGCCCAGGCCTGCCCAAACCCCACCAGCACCTCTGACTCAGATCACCTCGTCTGAAGAGCCGTGTCTGAGTCCCGAGCCGGGCTTCCAAGGTGCCGAGGAGACTAGTGAGGACGCGGCAGAGGAGGTCCAGGCTGAAGCGCACGTGGAAGAAACGGAGGAGCCGGAGCCTCTGGAAAGCCAGTCAGAGCCGCCGAGCCCCATCGTGAACAAACTCAACTTCCACCTCAGAAAGAAGACCCTAGAGATACAGCTAGGAATTCCCACGCGGGCAAAGGAATCCAGGGAACATGGTGGAGCAACCTCAGAGAATGCATCCACATGGGAGGCCCTCGCAAGTCCACACGACCAAAGGAACACGTCGCCGCAGGAGCTCCCCCTCCCACCAGACAGTCCTCGTACCCCAGATCCAGGACGGCTCAGCCCTCGAGGCCAGCTGGCCTCCCCGTTACAGGCAGGGCAGCAGAGCCAGACGCAGCCGAGTTCCAGAGCTTCATCCCCTGGCTCTGCCCACTGGGCCTCCAAGGTCGCGCAACCCACTGAGGACATGACCAAGGCGCAGGTGCTTTGTGTCCGGCTGGAGGCCGGTGTGAACGACGGCAGCCTGGAGAAGCCCTGGGGCCCTGAAGCCCAAAGCCCAGACAAGTGCACAGACTGGGCCCCAGCCCCAGAGGTGGCAGAGAAGAGAGAGAAGCCAGGGAAGCCCAAACCGGCGGGGGGTCACGGAGAAGGGGATGCGGGCCTCGCACTCTCCTCAACTAGAGAAGAAAGCCCCCACGCCGAGGCCCCCAGTCCAGTGAGGACGCTTCTGAGCAGGACGCGCAGCAGCCTCTGGCGACGCAGCCATCGCTTTCACCTCGATGCTTCCTGCCCACCCAGTCCCCAGCATCGCCCTCTGCCCTGGCTCCCTGAGCAAGCTCCAAGAATGCCCGGGGCGGGGGAATCTGCGAAGGATGACCCGCCACACAGTCCAACCAAGGGCGGTGTCATCCTCAAGCCAGCAAGGATGCCTCAGAATGCCCGGCCTGTGGTGCCCCGGGCGTCGCAGGGCCCGCCCCTCCAGGGTAAGCTTCTGCCAGCCCAAACTTTGCAAGGGCAGCTTTTGCAGGGGCAGGTGATGCCAGTCCACAGCCACAAGAGGCCCAGCCTTCCAGAATCTGGCCTGAGAAATAAGATCAAGTCTTTTCTCAACTGTATTAACCCCAAGCCAAAAGCCAAAGGGCATGAGTACTCCATGCCCTCCACAGTGCAAACAGTGGCCCAAGCCAGAAAAGGCAAAGCTGAAAAGATCCTGGCTCCAGCCAAAAGCCCCTTGGGGCACAGCAAGACACAGAAGATAAGAGGGGGCCCCAAGGCCACAGCTCTCCTCCCTGGGAAGCAAGCGGCCGCAGCCTGCTCAGGTGACCTCCTTTCCCCACACAGCAAGTTCCGGCACCGCCTCCGAACCCACTCCCGTAAGCCCCACTTGGCCTCGGTCCTGGGCTGCCCCCCATACTGCCCTCGGCATTGTCCCCAAGGGGTTAATGCCACCCAACCAGGGAACCCACCCTGACGCTCTGCTCACTTCGGAGGGGAACCTGGGCTGCTCCAGACTCCCCAACCAGGGATGTCTGCGTCCCTTGGAGAGGTTGCTACCGTCAGTTTTAGTAATGTGCGGGAGGGGCGACCCACTCCACCTCAAATACACTCTATTCTCTAAGCAAACAGTTGTCTTCTGCTCCTTCTCTCCGCCGTGCCAAGTTAAGGGAAGGCAACGAGGAAGCTAACATGTCCTCCCAACCCAGGAAAGGAGCTTTACCCCACACGCAAGCTGACCGGCTGCCCCACACCTCCTCCAGCCCCATGTGCTTGTGGATGAGGACCTGAGCAGAGGGCAGCACTTGGCCAGGAATGCCACAGGCTCAATTCACTGATGGCATCTATCTACGCCCCCAGCCTGGAGGGAAGGTTTTTAGAGCCGCTCCACAGTGCTCCAAGCTTGAAGAAGGGCTTTGCGTGCATTGAAAGCACAGAGTCACTATGACGGATGTCAGGTGCAGTAACAGACTCTCCCCCCTCTGTCCCCTGCCTTCTGTCAGTTACATCCTCTGGACAGCTGGTCTGGGTGGCTCGGCCTATATACCACGCCCGCTGCCTATCAGCTCGTGGAATGAGGCACAGAATGAAGATCACAGTAGGACATGGAGGGGGGCTTGTCCCCCACCCCAAAGGCAGGGAGGGCCTTGAGGGGCGCAGGAGGGAGCATGTCAATGAATCAGTTCTGAGTCCCCAGGACAGAAGCTGACATGTTCCCAACCACAGCATCATAAGAGAAAAAGCCCATTTGCTTCACATGCAAATGAATTAGACGACAACCTTAGGTCTTAGAACATTTTTTTTTTAAGATTAATTTTATTTGTGCATACAAGAACTGCCAGCTGTACAGGGGGTGAGAGAATGGGTAGAGAATGAGTGGGTAGAGAACAGGAGTATCCATTTAAATACATTGTTAAGGGGAGCACAGGCAAAACAGGAGAGGTCTGCTCTACCATGTGGTCAGCTCCCTGGCTGGGGATCAAACTCAGGCCACAGTGGCTGGTGATAACTTGACAGTGCTGAGACTTAACCCCTGCACCACCAAGGAGGCCCAAGGTCCAAGAACGTTTAGGGCAGGGAGGTGAATAACGTGAATTTCAGTCAGTTGCCCATAGTGTGATGAAGAGCAGTGAGTGAAGCCTTGTTGTGTGAAGACAATGCAAATTCATTCAAAATGTCTAAACAGTCATCTGCTCCCCCACCAAACTGTTTTACAATGCCAGGGAAGGTATCACTTCAATCCATGTTTTTGCTTAGCCCAAACAGTAAGTCAGTCACTGGTTCTAATATGATGTCTCTCAACTTTGTACCTTTCTTCAATTTTTACTGCCTCTTCTTTATCAGTTTCTCTTCCATCCTTCCTGAAGACTAGAATATTGTCTGCTATCCCCAGCGCCTAAGAGGGTGGCTGGCACGGGGCATACCTTAAGAGAACTTGAATCCCAATTCTAGGCTGGGTTGACAAACGATCATTACATGAGTGTGATGAATGCTACTGAACAGGGGCTCCTGCCCCAGGAGGAAGTACTAAACTGAATGTGGACCCTGAGGGATCAGGATAAAAATGACTTTCTGTAGCATCTTACATGCAACAATTAACATATATGAGCCCCACTGTATGCAAGGCATATACCAAACACAACAGGAACAAAACACTGGACTTCAAAATGGAGCTTATGATCTCACGCAATAAGACAGGCTCACATGTCCAAAATGTCTAATCCACATATTTACTTGGATGAATGATATTCTTCTTAAATTACAGAGAAGAGCACTTCTGCCTCCCCCCCCCCGACCCCACCATCCCATAACCGCACACACCAGATATATTCCAGTCACTGCTCTTGCTACATCAGTTAATGGCAACTTCATCTCCCTGATTTTTCAGGCCAAAAACGTCAATGCCATTCTTGACTTTTTTCCTTTATATACAATCCAACCTCTTATCTCAAAACTTGCAGGCAAACTATATATCTGAGGCTTACCGCAGGAGAGGGGTAGAGAGAGGGGTCACATGGGACTGTGGTTACAGTTCACAGGTGACGTGGTGGTGGGAGATTTATGGGGACTGCACCAAGGGGAGAAAACAAATATTGTACAAAGTCGAACAACAATGGAAGAAAATAAAAGAGTTTAATCAATTTTTTTTAAATCCCTATTTTTCTATTTTCAAAATGAATTCAGAACAGCCACTTCTCATTCCTTCTGCTTCTAGGATTACTGTAGTAGCATCATAACTAATCTTCTACTTACTCCTGAGACCATACCTCCAAAAATCTATTCTTAACACAGAAGCCTAAGGAAGGTCCTCGGGCTTCTAATACGCGAGCTGTAAAGATTCATGGAAGGGGTGCAGGGGAAATCCCAGACCGCCAGAGCCAGACAAGTTAAGGAATTCTGGAAGTTATCATGGAAAAAAGTTTCAGGCATAAAGTAGATAGCAGCATGTAGGCCAACGGTTGAAATAGTAGTTGAAACTGGTGATCACATGTGAGAAGCAGTTGATCTTGGAACACAGTGGGGGAAAGGGGAAGGAAAGTCCAAGATGCCCCAGCAGAAGGATAAGGATGCGTCTAGAGACAGAAGAAGGAAACTCTGGGATCCCAGTATTCAATCAGGGAGTGGGGAAGTTGGGGATGGGAGGGAAGAAATGGGAAGCAAGACAACAGGGAGGCCACCTGAGTGGGCAGGACAGACCTGATGTGGATACCTGGTATCTCTCAGAAGCAGCACCTCTGTATCCCCACCTCCCAACCTTCCACCGAGGAGCAAGACCCGAAGGCAGTGCCGTAGTTTCCTCATGCTGTGGCATGGGCTGTGGGTGCCCCTGTCTCTGACTCCTGAGGAAATCCAGGATGACTCACCATCCCAGCTCTTCCTCTGACAGGGCCCAGCACTTAGCACAACGTGTCCACTGTGAGCAGGAGGCATAAACACGAGGACGGGAAGAAGCACGACTGCCTCCCTCCTCTCAGTGGTGACTCGGTGCCTACGGGGTGGGAGCCCAGCCCTGCTGTGGCCTCCATACCAGGAGGCACAGGGTCAGGCCTGATGAGCCAACATCCTCCAGGTGTTTTCCTAAAAACAGCCCGAAACACCAAAGGAGGTCTCGTGACAGGTACAACCCCCTGCCCGCAGGGAGCTGGGCAGAGAGCCAGAGCAGAGAGGGGAGGAGGCCCAGAATGAAGGGAATGAGCCAGCGTGTCAGGTGGGAAGCCGAGGTGAATGTGCACACATCCTGGCCCAGGGGCTCCTTCCCATGGACGAGCTGCCCCGCGCCAGCTCTGGCCACGGCGCCCACCAGGTCCCACGACTAAGGGCCTGGGCAGAAAGAGGGGTTGGAGGCAAAACCTTCAGGATTCTGAACCCTCACTCAGCCAAGCGCTGAGAGAAGACGCGGGAGGCACATCCCATAATTCTGGTACAACACCCACCCAGCTCCCCTGAGGCTACAGAGGTAAAATAAGAAGGAAACAAAGACCTCAGGGCAGGCACAAAAAGAATTTACCTTCCAGAATTGGTGGGATTTGCTCGGAATGTCAGGATGCTTGCTTGGGAACTCTGGAGCTCACCCCTGAACCCCTGAGGTATCATCTCCTCATGGTAAATGGCTCTGGCTTCCTGGGCTCTGCAGAGGGCACCTCAGGAGTCTATGCAGGGAATTTCAGGCAGCTACCCCCGGAGTGAGGAGCGCCCCTTCTCCCCAAGTCACTCATCTTGTTAAACGCTGAGTCCTAGAGGCCAGGGACCAGGCTGCCTCATGAGTGCACCTGTGGGCCACAGCCCCAGGGGGAGGGGAGTGAGTTCAGATGAGCTCAGGGGCGAGTCCTATGGGACCTGCCTCCTGCACCGGGTGACAGGGAGCTGGGTCCCTGAGCGCCACCAGTCACACAAAGTCCGCGTTCCATCTGGGCTCTGGAGCCATGATGCAGGCCTGGGCTGTCACAGCCTGAGGACGAGAAAGGGTTCTGTGTCCTCTGCAGGGGGAGGAAGAGGAAGCAGACCTTGAGCCTGGGTGGGGGCATAGGGAGTGACACACTGCAGGCACCGAAGGTGCAAGTCCTTCCCTGACAGGCCCGGCTAGGCTTGCAGGACTGGCCGTTCCCTCCCCAGAGACCTGAACGCTGAGGCCAGGACCCTGAACACTGGATCTGGTGAGAGCCTGGGAGGGGTGCCTGGGAAGGGACCAGAGGGAGAGCTCTCTTTCCAGGAGGAGGGGTGGGTGCTGCCAACTTCCCCCCTTCCCCACCTCGTCCCTCTTCTCCACTTCAGCTTCTCTGGGTCCACAGCCAGGCAAGAGACACATTGGGGACTTTCCAGAGCGTATGCTTCCCAAGGCCAAGTCCACTACAGAGGCCACAGGGGCAGGCAGCTGCACCCATGGGAATCCAGACAGCGGGAAAGGAAGCCATTCCTTGCAGTAAACAGTGCAGGCATCTGGGGTGCATCAGGCAAAGGGGCAGGGAAAGGGAGAGACCAGAGCACACTCGCGTACTCGGTCACAGACAAGTGGACACACACCCAGTCACACAGACTCATAAACAGAAAGACACAAATTCGGTGACGCCACTCAGAACCCAACTCAGAGACACATCCGGGAGTCACACCTACACACCCGGGGACACCCCCAATCAGACTTGCTCCAGCAGACACGGGCACCAACACAGCAGACACAAGACAAGCTCGCAGACACACACACACAGCCCGTCTCGCAGACCCACACACAAATGCAGTGCGGATGTCTCCTTCAAAGCCCCTCTCTTCCCTACCACCTCCTAGGCCCCCCCAGGCCAGGCCTGGCTGTCCCTCACCCTCTAAGCTCTGCTGTGGCATTTCTGTGCCGTTGCTTGTCCTTTACTCCCAATCTCTGTCTCAATTGCTTGGCCTTTTGTCCTGGCCTCAAAAGCTTGGCTTGTGCTTTTAAGACAAGGACAACATCCTTTAAGATGAGGACAGCAAGGGATTCCACTGCCCTCTTCAGCAGCCCCACCCTTCACCTACACAGTGTTGCGTCGGCAACACCCCACAGGAGTCGTGCAGCAGGCTGCACAATGCAAGATGCTGCTGAACAAGCAAGATCCTGGCCTTCTTATTGATAGAATAATCAGGCAGCATCAGTCACAGGGGGTTGGACGACAAGGAGAAAAAGATGGGTGAAACTAAAGAGTGTGTTTTTGTCATCTAGGGTTGGGACGACTTAAGTCGGCTGACCAGGTAATTCTTATCTGTTTGACAACCAA